TTTTTTTTTTTTCCTGACGTGGTGGGTTTCTGCAGCCAGGCAGCATGAGCACAATGACAGCTAAGCGGAGCCATTGCAAACGTATCGTAAGACAATTGCCCCGCTTTCAGGTTGCCCTGCGTCCCACGCCTCCCTCCCTCTCATGCCTCCCTCTCCTCCCTCTCCTTCCTCTCCTTTCGGTCTTCTTTTCCCCTCTTCGATTTACCTTCCCCTTCCCTCCTTCTTCTTCCTCTTTCTTCTTCTTCTTCTTCTCCTTCTTCTTCTTCTTCTTCGTCTTCTTCGTCTTCTTCTTCACACTTGTTGTGTCTTGCATGGAGTATCTCTCTACTACCCCACACTGCCCACAGTGTAACAGAAGCAGCACATGCTATATTATTACGTTGATTGGATTGGTGTATCTCTCCTAATCTATATCCTCACCGTGATACTGTTCTTGCTGTGCTGGAATTTCACTATTTGCACTATTCGGACTTTGTTTTTTTCCCCGCCCCCCCCCTCAACAATTACTGAACCGACACGAGAGTTGATCTTATCCAAAAAAATGGCGATTTTTTTTTCAAAAATGGGTATTGTCATATTATGGGAGGCATTCCAGCCAATGGCTTCCCTCACCGTACCCATTTTTTTTCGAAAATGGGTATTGTCATATTATGGGAGGCATTCCAGCCAATGGCTTCCCTCACCGCTCAGTCTTCCCAGGCTGAGTTCATCCATTTGTCCTCCCTTTTATGGCGGTTGAGGCGTTACACAGAAGCTTTATTGGGTGGGTTCTGCACAGTCTTTCCCTGCGCACTCATTGACGAAGTTCGTGGGGAACAGCACGTGCTGGGAATCGGGCCCAGCGTCCCATGGGCAAATATACACTTAATTAGGCACCGGTGCCATCGTCTGTCTTCGGCCGAAGAAAGTCTGAGCGCAAATTCGAGCCAAGTGCTGCTGAGCACACTTCAGCCAATAGAGTCTACAATCCCTACCAAGACCACACTAATTTGAATATGTCCATTTTCAGGGACCTCTTCACCCTGCTGTCGGGCGTCAAACTTCAACTTGCTCTCCTATCTCCAGGCCTTCGGCGGTCTTGGGAAGTATGTAGCCTCCTCGTGTTGCTGATTCTTAATTTCTGAGCGTACATTTCTGTAATTTATCGATCTAAGTAAGTGGGACTTGGCCGGCCGAGTCCCAAGTCCCACTTAGGACAAGTCCCACGTAGGTTCTTGTCCCAGAAATTGGGAATCCCGAGTAAGTGGGACATGGTCCCTGATAACGGTTCCATTCGACTGCTTCAGGCGAGTTTGGGAATTTGTCTTTTTTTTTTTTTTTTTTTTGGTTTTGTCATAGACGAGTTCAGACTCGAAATTTCGGTCTTTTTTTTTTTTTTTTTTTTTTTTTTTTCATCAACCAGCTCAGGGACCATGAAATTGGGAATCCCGTGTACTATTAATTGACATCCACATGGGCTGGGCTCCCATGTACTTTCTGAGCGGCCTGAGGTTAATTGTGTCTATTTCCTAATGGGCCATTTTTCATGTTCTTCATCCTCGATAACCATAAACACACACACACACACACACAAAAAAAAAAGAAAAAAAAAAAGAAGGTATCGGCCGTCCCAGTTGCTGAGATTCTTAACATTCGTGATCATAGATTAGAGAATTGATAGACGGTCAGATTCAGTGAATCTGGATGATTTACTAGCCGAGACTGGAGATAATGTGGAAAAGCAGAAAGCTTGTGTAGTGTCTGGAAAAGAAAAAAAAAAAGGAAAAAGGAAAAAAGAAAAGGAAAAAGGGAAAAAAGGGAAAAGGAAAAAGGAAAAAGGGAAAAGAGAAAAGCGAGAAGGAAAAAGGAAATCCTTGGCAAATAAGCAGCGATAATGACCGGGCATTTGCATTTGGGCCAAAAAAATATAAATACAAATACGGGGCGTTCTATTTGGGTGAAGACGTGTAAAAATGGGATTCCAGTGGGGATAAGTAGGTACTTGGAACTTAGTCGTGTTGTGATGCGAAGGGGGCTGTTCCAATTTTAACGGATGTCCCGAAGGACTTGTTGCACATATTGCTCGCCGGAGTGCATGGCAGTTCTTTTCTTGGCAAGTGTCCGTCCCCAGCGGTACCCTCTCCTCTTGGAAAGCTGAAAACAGGAAAGATGGGGGAAAGGAGAGAAAAACAGAAGAGAGAGAGAGAGAGGGAAAAGAGAGAGGAGGAAAGATAGGGTGAAAGAGAGAAAAAAGGCAAACTTAAGGTCCATGTGCATACGAGCATGGACGTTACAGATCCGTAAGGCCCATGTGCATAAGAATAGTCAGGGCATAGTCACACTAGTACTTTTCGGAAATGTATATGACCGCGATTAGGGTGAGAGCTGGATGAATCTGACCGTGAAAACGTCCAGAGCGTAGTAGGAAAAAGACTCCTAGTGTGAGTTTGCCCTCACATGGAATGGAATGGAAAGGGGATTCGCAGAAGTCTTAGAGATGAAGCATAGAGGGCACGGAAAAGCGAAAGCTCACGTGCATTCCATGTGCATTGCAGAGCTGGATGAATCGGGCCGCAATTAGGGCACTGTTTCTTTTTAAAATCTTCCGGGCACTCTTTCTCATCCACTGGATGTAATGCCCACAAAAAGTGAAAGCCCATGTGCATGCAACCACTCCCTTTTTTTTTAGAATATAAAAAATGAAAATCGACTTAAACAGGGGCGAGGTCCCACTAGCAGCGGGATAGGATCTGTCGCTTATACACATCTAGATGTGTATAAGAGACAGCTTTTCTATCGGTTGGGGGTAAGGCCAACCCCAAAGGAGGGTGGGATCGGCCTTAGCCCACTGGATAGAAGATTTTCAGTATTTTACTTGCTGTTGCGCAATTATCTCATTGGGTGGAGCGCTCCTTCAATCACGGAGTATATGGAGGGTGTCAGGATCAGTGCGGACAGAAGTCAAGTTTATTCCAGCAAATGTGGCGGTTACTTTGTTCACTGCTGATGCAACCACCACCATCAGATCATTTGTGATCTGATGGCTGGGAAGCACTCTGCCGTGATTTTCGGTGGGAGGTCTCTGTTCCTTTTTTTTTTTTTTGCGTTTCTCCTGTTTTCTCAGCCCAGAAATTCGTGATGAACCTGTCGGGCCGCTGCCACTCAGTGTCACACTGGATCGGCCACACTCCTATCCGACTGCTAATGGGACCTCGCCCCAGGAAAACACAAAAATCGAAGTAGACAAATCGAGAATCACTGTGGAAAAAAAAAAAAAAAAAAGAATCACAGTGGAAATGGGTCAAAGAAAGACCTACCGTAGTCCGACTCACTTCTTCCCCCGAATAGAACGCACGTACGTCGGTCATTATCGCCGTATCTAGACTGAAAGCTGTGCTGAATATCTACCATCATACGTTCTACTGGAGGAAAGACGGTAAGCGAGTGCTGCGGCTCGCAGAACAGTTTTTTTTTTTTTTTTTTTTTTTTTTTTGCATAACAGATTTTCTTTTGAAAAGAGAAGAAAGAGAAAAAGGGCCTCGTTGCACTACTCGCCATCCGCCAACATTTTGATTGCATGTGGACATCAATTTTGTCCAGATGCATTCGAAATCTTGGCGGATGGCGAGTAGTGCACCTAGTAGGGCCAAAATCACAAAAACAAGCACGCTGGGGGCGATCGGGGTCTCGAAGGCTCAGTTGCGACAGCCGTTTTTTTTCGCTATCTTTGGGCCTCGCTCTACTTACTACTCACCAAACTCACCAAATGTGTAAGGGCGAGCCACACCACTCTCGAAATGGGAAAATGACAAAAATGTGGCGGGTGCATTTGGTCCTGTTCTAGCGGGAAGTTCATTCTCATTTTGCACATTTCGAGCGTGGTGTGGCGATGCCCTAAGCAGAGAATGAATCTTTCGCCACAATATGGGACGACACTTCGACATCTTTTTTTGTCTTTTGTGCGTGTGGTGACTAGTGGAGCGAGGCCCTTTTTCCCGTTTTTGGGCAAACATCCAGATCTGGAAGGGTGATCTCTACGTCTACAGTTTGAAGAGGAAGGTGTGTGTGTGTGTGTGTGTGTGTGTGTGAGAGAGAGAGAGAGAGAGAGAGAGAGAGAGAGAGAGAGAGAGAGAGAGAGAGAGAGAGAGAGAGAGAGAGAGAGAGAGAGAGAGAGAATTGTTTCACATTCCTGATGGTACCTGTTTTTCCAGATGATCAGGGTATATTCTTTCACAAAGCAGTGAGCACCGCGTTTCTGACTACATTCACTGAATGAACTCATGGTTGGCTGGGGTATTCAGTCCAGTTTCGAAATGTTGACTTACAGACACAGGGCCTCGCTCCAGTACTCCAGTACGCTCGACATTCACGATAGACTAAAATCATGGCGGTGTATCTTTCCATGTTGTGGCGGAAGATTCACTCTCGATTTGCACATTAAATTTTCGAGATTAGTGGAGCGAGGCCCATATATATATAGGTAGGACGGAGAAAAAAAAAAAAAAACTTCCAAGGGCATGCTGACTCACACACTGTCGTGTCCCCTCTAACAGAGCACACACTGTCAGTCATTGTACTCGTATGCGGGGGGCAATTGGCAGTCCAACATGCGGCGATAATGGGCCTCGCTCCACTTTTCTCGACATTGGGCTTTTTTTTTTTTTTTTTTTTTTTCCCATTAACCTTGGCCTTTTCGGTGTACTCACAATTGAATCTGGTAATGCGGGTTACGAATTTCGTCAAGAAGAAGAGACTTTCCAGGATGTATGTGAACGGTTTACGGTCACGCCTGCATGTACGTGACCGCAATTACGTCCACATGTAAGTTGAGATGGTGTGAGTATGCCCCCTAATAGGAGTAACTGTTATTCTCGTTAGCTTCATGGGTTTCGGGTGAAGACGGCAGGAGTATTTTTTTTTCTAGCGAACGCAGTCGTAGTTTAGGGCGAGATACACTGAAGAAAGTTCTAATGTACTATCATATCATTTTCGTTCCAAATCGGCGGATACGAACCGTATGGGAGTCCGAATAGGACATGCAGGGTCATTGGGCCTCGCTCCACTATTCTCGACATGTGCAAATCGAGAGTGAATCTTCCACTAGAACGTGGAAAGATACACCGCCATGATGTTTGTCTTTAGGTTGTGGAGGTTAAAGTCGTACTTTTATCCATTACCGGAAATGCATCTGGCCGTAATTGGAGTCAGATGCCTTTAGCCGGAAACAAAATTTTCAACGCGTGCGGGTATGCATTTGCTTTTTTTTTTTTTCATTTGCTTTATTTCTGAGTCCACCGAAAAGCACAGAACCCTTCAATTGTGAGTACTACATCGAAAGTTTGAAATAAAGCATGGCCA